GAATTCTGACTTTAATCTCAGAATTCTGACTTTAATCTCAGAATTCTGACTTTAATCTCAGAATTCTGACTTTTTTCCCATACTATACTGAAATAAAATAAAAAAAAATCAGTTAACTTTTTTTTTTTTTCCATTGGCCCTAATCCTCTTCCGTACATCGGCACAAACTACCAAAAACGGAGCCGAGTTAATTGACACCCATTTTGCCTCATTTGTAGAAAGTGGTTGACCTTTGATGACCTCTAGAAACATCTCTTTATATCTTTAAAATGACAGCGGCACAAACGAAAATTTTTGCTGCACAAACGTTTGACACAATTTTTGTCTGATTTGAAGAAGGTGGGGGGGCGGGTTGACCTTTTGACCTTTACAATTTCATTAATATCATCAAAGCCAAAGCAGCACAAACAAAGCCGAGTTAATTGACACCCATTTCATCTGATTTGAGGAAGGTGGGGGGGCTGGTTGACCTTTAATGACCTCTAGAAATATTTCTTTATATTTTTTAAATGCAGCACAAACGAAAATTTTTGCTGCACAAACGTTTGACACAAATTTTGTCTGATTTGAAGAATGTAGGGGGGCCAACTTCACTCAGGGTCCACGGACGGGTTTGTTGTTCGATCGCCAACTTGAAGAGGGAGGATTTGCCATCGAACTTCTGGCCAGAGAAAAAACGCGTAATATGTAGCCAACATTTGAAGAATGTTTTCAAGATGACTTGGATATTAAAAACAACAGATACAGCACTGGGACTTGATCAACAGCCGATACCGCACCGTGACGTCCCAAACCAGTAGGTGGCAGTAGTGTTCTTTGACAAACCTGGATGCCTCCAGTAAAGCACATTCACATGAAAATTACTCTTAATTAAAAACAATTAGCATTTATTGAACAGTATGGAATAATTTCAAATTTAAACTACTTTCAGAAGTTTAAATTCTGAATATGACCAGACTTTTCCTTTACTACAACAGAAACTGAAGAAAAAAAGGCATTTTTGTGTTTTAGTGAAGCATAATTCTTTAACCGGGAGGTGTGGCCTAACATCTAGTGCACATAAGAGCAGATGCTGCACTAGGAGGCTGCAGGTGGGTCAGCAGGGAGGTGCAGATTTCCCTGAACCCAGCCAGACCAGCTCTTTTTTAGGAGTTACTCTGCTTTACCGTGAACCTCTGGTCTCCATCAGGTTTCCTCTCATGATTGTTCTGTTTTAAGATCAATTCGTCTCCCATTAGTAGCAATCAAATTTAATGTAGCTGCTGTAGAAAAGTATTCCCTTAGCATGATGTTTCCCCCACCGTGTTTCACAGCAGGGATGGGCTTTTAAGGTGTTAAGTTTTCCACACATGTAGTATTTTATCTGCTTGGTGCAAACTAAAACTTTTTAGGACTTTTTCCCCATAATTCAATGTTTATTTTCTGTACCAAGTAATCTATAAAGGTCAGATTCTTTCCAAACTATCATGAGGGTCAGAGTTGCTTCTCTGATTATATCCTCCTTGTTTAGATGGACGGCCATGTCTTTGTCTGCTGTTGCTTCATACTTTCCTTTTTTGAAAGATGTTCATATTGAAGCTTTTTAATTTAACCCGAACCCAAATAACCTCTTTACATCTTCTGTGTTCCTTACTTTTCATCATGGTGTTTTTTTCACTAATGTTCTCTAACAAACTCCTGAAAATCTCACAGAAGAACAGGATTTATATCAACATTACATTAAACACATACTAGACTTTATTTACTACTTTGGGTGACTTCTGTAGCCAGGTGGTCACAAAGGATTAGAGTCTTACTTTTCTTATTTGTATTCATTAAAAAATTATGTTTTTTGTTTCGCCTTGTTGAGCCATGATGAATGTGATTTACACCCCTATCCTCGACTGATATTTGTGAATTATTATTCCATTTCTGATAATGTTTTCTAACCCATAAAGCCTTTTGTTTTTTTTTTAGAAAGGGCAGAAGCCAAACGACCCCAATTCCAAGCGGTGGACCCGTTCGTCCGTTTCTAATGCATCTTTTCTAAACAAAAAAGCCTTTAGAAAAATGCATAACGAAAAATCCCTAAAATTTTTCTCTTTAACTGAAAGACACGGCTTACAGTTTAAACCCTAGCCTTTTATTTTGCCCCCATTTTTTATTTATTTACTTTTTGTACTTATACTTACTTTTGAACACTAATCCCTTACCTTTGAATTTTGCCTTGTGGTTTGTGAATAAATACTACAATGCTGACTTAATTCATCCTTTTTTTATTGTTTGCATCATAACCAGATTTTAATATAGATATATTTTAACCTGTTAACATTTATAAGACAATTATTTTATATTTTTAGTTAGATTAATGCTTTTACTTTGCTGCACTCTATACAACAACTGTTGATGGAAAAGTTGCATCTATGAACTTTAAAAAACTTCAGATCGTTTGCTATTAACTAAATTAAACGACTAGTTGGTTTTAAATTCCTTTCATCTCAGTTTTTCTCCTCTCTAGACTCTAGAGAAGACTCTTCAAAAAGCATCCAGTCATTTATCTGCAGACTCTGCATCACTTGCAGCCTGTTTGTTCTTGCGGTTCCGTTCAGCTTTGACCAGGGCACCGATCACCGCCAGCATCACGGTGATGGTGATGACCAGCACCGAAGCCGTCTCTGCCATGCACAGCTGGCTGTCCATCGACGCAAGCGTGCTCCCAGCCTGCTGAGGAGGAGCCTGGCAGAGGATGGCCTTGTAGTCCTCCACATGCAGGTGTCGGACGTTCTGGATCTTCCCGAAGACTCGCTGCAGGTCGCAGTCGCAGGTCCAGGGGTTGAGGGACATCTGCAGGTGGGTGCTGATGGTCTGCAACTTCAGGAAGGTCTTGAACTTGATGTGCTGCAGCTGATTTCCCTGGAGGCCCAGCAGGGTCAAACTGCGCAGCGGTGACAGGGCCTCAGCTTCCACCAAGGAGATGTTGTTGTGACCGAGGAGGAGCACCTCCAGACTCTGCTGCCGGCTCAGCAGCCCGTCTTGCAGCACATTCAACCTGTTTCTCTCCAAGTTCAGCAGTCGCAGTCGAGAGAGGCTGTTGAAAGCTTTGATGTCTATAGTTCGGATACGATTGTGGCTCAGGTCTAGTTTTTTCAGGTTGTCACAGTTTCTCAGTGAGGAGGAGTCGACGTGCTGCATCAGGTTGTGGTCCAGGCGGAGCTCCTGAAGGGAGGACAGATGCAGAGTAAAGTCCTGCGGAAGCCAGCGCAGTCGGTTGAAGCTCAGGTCCAGCTTCTCCAGAAACTGCAGAGATGACAGAGACTGAAAAACAGGAAATCATTTAGAAAGGATCACTCTCAACTATTTATACATCTTCTTCTTTTTCTTATGCATTTTAAAGTCACACCACAGGTAATAATGACATCATGCAAAAGTGAGTCAGCTGTCTGTTGGAGCGGTGGCTTATCTGTAGCTGAGAGGAAGCGGCTGGATCAGCTGATCAGGAAGGCCAGCTCTGTGACTGGATGCCCTCTGAAGCAGGAGGTGGGAAATACAAGGATCCTAACTAAATTAACATCTCTGTTTGATAATTTCTCCCACATGCATGAAGCTGGTGCTGAACTGGACAGCTCCTTCAGTGACAGACTGCTGCACCTTAGATGCACCAGGGA